TGGCCCTTGGCTTGACGGCTGCCCCGCAGCACGTAGCCGGGGTGGCACTGGAAGGTGAGGTTGTCCCCAGGGTGGTACTCAGCGCTCTGTCCTTCAGCCACATCTCCATTGGGGATGTCGGGGCTCGTGCAGGTGATGACTGGAAGTGAAAAGCAGCAGAGAGTGGGCTGGGGAAGCGGCTGCCCGAGCTGGGGCTTACCCCATTTTTTTGGTGAGGTCAAAATTCAGGGAAGCTGCGTGACCAGGATGGTCTCCCTTTTCACTGTGGGTAACAGCTTTCACAGCTCACCTTCACAGCGGGGGTAAGGGATGCTCCAGGTTCCATTGACTGTACAGTACAGAGTTGTTTTTCCAAGAAGATAATAGCCGGGGTCACAGCTGTAATTTACGGACTTTCCAGGGGTGAACACTTCCCCATCCTCACCATCATGCTGGCCATGGTCAATCGCCGATGGGGAGGGACACAGCCGCCCTACAGGGAAGGAAATCCTCACTCAGAACAGGGTCGTTCAGGGTTTTGTGTTTTGTTCTCCCATGTAGCACGAGAGACCCCAGTCTCTGTAAGTACAAGTGTGTGGATTTTCACTTTTGTCCCCTTCTTTCCTCCCGTAATCCCTTTGTGTCCCTGGCACATCCACAGGTGACAAAGGCAGGGGACTGCACCTTCACACCACGGTGCAGGGACGCTCCAGGCTCCAGAAGAAGTACAGTTGAGCTGTGCCTCTCCAACAAGAAGGTAGCCGGGATCACAGGTGTAGTTTACGGACATGCCGCTGATGAAAACTGGTGTGGCTTCACCACTGTGCTTTCCATTGGCAATGGCTGGAGGGTGAGGGCACTGCGACACTGGGGGAAGAGGGCAAAACCATACTCATGTCAGTACTGAGAAAAAAAGAGGAATGTGCAAAAATGAGCCACGTGGTGCAAAGGAACATTGCAATCGAGCTGCCAGCCTGTAAGAGATGGAGAAGTCTCACACAGGTCTCCCTCGGCTGCTGCTCACTGCCACGGTCCATCCAGACGCTGCAGCACTGCGGCCGTAGGAGTATTTATTCCTGTACGTTCATTCCCGGCGAGCGCTGAAGGGCTCTGGCAGCGGGAGGGATGAGGGCACTGTGGTGCCTCGGCCCCTCCTGTCTCACAAACGGTCACTGCTCCGCAGCTTGTCCCTGTGTGCCCCCTGCCCTGCCCGCGGCCTCGCCGACGGGGACGTGTGCCCACGCACCGCAGAGCCCTACCTCCGCACCGTGGCGGCGGCCCGCTCCACACGCCGTGCTCCCCGTCCTCCGTGGTGCAGAAGATGGAGGGCTCTCCAGCCAGCGGGTGGCCGGGGTCGCAGGGGTAGGTGACCACGCCCGCGTAGGAGAAGGTGTTCCTCAAGTG